TTTTAAGTTCCTCCCCACAAGAAGTTGGTGTTTGTGTAAGCACATTAACTACGTGAGACATATTACGTATTAACTACGTAATTACTATGTATTAACAATACGTTCTTAGTTGTTTGCTCGATTGAAGTCTTTGTTTTCTCAAAAAATTTGCCCATTTCACCCAATCCGTGCACCCGGACAAAAGGTTCGTTACTGGCGTTTGGTACCGAATTCACGCCCTTTTTTTGACTCTTTTCGAACCTGTTATGAATTCATTTCCATGCCATTGTCAATTCTAATGATTTCCTCATCCTCTGTCGACCCTGCGTACTTGTTTCCTTGTGTGTTTTGAATGAATTGTCGTTCAGTTCTGCGCGTCAAACTCATTTCCTCCCTGTACATTCCTATTCTGTAAAAAATTATATTTACGAATCTTAACTTATCCGTTCGCTTCTTATTAGATGTCTTATATAGTATCTTTTTTTGGTTAGTAAATTAGTACATAGGTCTGCTGAGGATGGCGTTAAGCATGTTACACAAGGTGAAACCAGTATTTAGCAATTTCACCGCTACGCCGCAAGTGGCCCTGTAAGTAAGATTTCTTTTTTGGTTAAATAAAATTTTTGTAACATCCATGAATAACTTTCTTTGGCAACAATCCCATTATCTCCAGAAAGAAAATCGAAGGCAAACAGCTTGTTTTAGTTCTTTGCCTTTTTTTAACTTCATAAGTCTAATGCAATTGTCACTCTGTCAAAAAAAAAAAAAAAAAAAAAAAAATCACTGTAACGAAAATTTTAAATCATATTTTCAAGTTTTAAGGCATCATACCAAATGTCACAAACGTGACATTTTTCAAGTCGTTTTAGCTAAATGGATCAACTAGAAAATAATAGGGGGACCGGAAAGTAATGTCGCTTTTTTTACATTAAATTCAAACGAATAACTTTCTAACAAGTTTTTATTTTTAATCAATAATATAATCACCCTACGTTATCAGCAACCGTTTGTCATATAGTATGCAAACTTTAATCCCAGACCGATAAAAATCAATTGGTTTTTGAGTAAAATATCTCGAGATGGCATTTTGGACATCATCCAAATTTTCAAATTTTTTGTCACTAAGAAAATGTTGTAGAGATCGGAATAAATGGAAATTCGAGGGTGTGATATCGGGTAAATATGGTGGGTGAGGCAGTACCTCCCACCCCAATTCATTATATTTTTCCAGTGTTCGTCCTGCACAGTGCGGTCTTGCATTGTCGTGTTGCAGAATGACGCCTTTTCCGATGACAGTCGCCGGACATTTTTCGATTAAAGATTGGTTCACTAGATCCAATTGTTCACAATAAAGGTCTACATTAACAATTTTTCCAGGTTCAGCAATTCGAAATGAACAATTCCGCGAATACTCCACCAAACACCCAGAAGCGCCTTTACCGGATGTAAACCCTTTTAACCCTTATTAAAACTGCCTTTTGAGTTTTGGATTATCATATAGGACTTATTTTTTTGTCTCCACTAATTAAGCGATCAAAAAACGGTTCTATATGGTGTCGTTGAAGCGATACGTTGCATGTGATGGATAGGTTGGCTTTCTTCTTTTCGGCCAGATTATGGGAGACTCAAACACCTGCTTTGCTTATTTTTCCATTCTGCTTTAAATGTTCTTGGATGGTCGACCAAGGTTAGTTAAGAGTGTTTGACATGGATTTGCTTCCACTTCCGCCTTTAGGATGTTGTTTTCGACATGCGCAGAAACGACATTACTTTCCAGTCCCCCTATTAAATCTAATCTCAAAATTTTTGACAAGAAGATTGAAAACTATCATTACGCTCAATCCTTTCACTCTAAAATCTAGGAGAGGGTCAAATTTGCACCCTTTGACTCTTAAAATCCAGGCTTCTTCGAATTAGCTGAATTACTCGTACAAAAATTCTTGAACTAATTTTTATTACGTTTATTTTAACACGCTTATTTTTCTTGTAAAGACATGAAAATTGTCATAAAATTCCAGTACCAGTAAAATTCATTTTACGAAGCTGGACACCACTGTTTTCATGACTGATGCTATATGTGAGGGAGAGAGGGAAGGGAATCTTACATCCAGGTTAAACTCATACTAGAAGGCCTTACATCAGAAAACTAAACCAAATCAAACTTACACCAGAAAATTAAAACCAAACTACTAAATCCAGGCCCCCGTACGTAAGAAATAAAACTCGTGCACAACAAAAGACAAAATCAAAATACTTTCTTAATCTATAAATGCTAATTAATTCGTTTCGTAACTGTCTCATTTCTGGAAGCATTGTCATTTCAGTTTTACAAAATTATTAAACGGCAGCTAGTATGTGACCTATGGTGCCAGTACTATTCCAATATACTAGCCTGGTCTACCAGCGGCCGAACGGTAAAAGCCGCTGAATATCGGTAGTTCGCTCCGGGGTTCGATTCCCGGCGAATGGGCTGGCTGCATGAGCGTTTTCGTGGTTTTCCCCGTGTGTAACATGGATACAAGCCAATTTTCCTTTAAAAGACCTCCACGAGGCATCCCTCCCTCTTCGTGTAGTGCCTAAGGGTGGAGCATATCATAGCCAACTTTTAACATTTAACTCAAGCTGCCAATGCTAGTAAAAGACTTCAGTCAAGTTTCAAATATTTGAGGATCATAGTTTTAAATAAGTTTAATAAGTTCAAATCAATCAGCCTTAATTTTGCAGATAAATACTAATATCACTTTACTATGTGTTCTATTACTCTGGTAAGAGAGAGGCTAATAAGCTCATTTGAGTGAAGTTTGATTTCTTCTGATTATATTATTACACTGCTATCGTATTTTTAGAAAAAGTTCAACAGTCTCACTGTTAGATTGACTGATCCCTGACTAAAAAAAACTCTTTCTCCCTAAAAAATAAAAAGTAATGTATTTATTTAGCTATCTCAAAATGCTTGATTACTTTTGACAAAAATGTAAAACCGTGGAGAAACTAAATTATGGGATTTTAAATCCCAGATGTGCAAGAGAAAATTAAATTAATTGAATGCAATTACTTTTTGCGTATAATCCTATGCTTCCACTTTTATTCCTTAAAAATACCATAGTGTATTTAAATAAAATAGTATAACCTGTTATAAATATATATTATTCTTAAACCACAGGCGTGTTCTTGAAAGTGAAAAATAATAAATAAAAATTGCTGTCTCTGAAAGTAAGAAAATTATTTCCTTTCATCAGCATAGTTATAAGGCAAACGATGTTATTTTTTAAGTCTTCCAATCCACTTGATGCTGCAAGATTACTTTCGGTTATTTTGAAAATTTGGATTTAAGTGTTCTTCACTATTTGTACCCTATTGATTGATTTTGGAAAAATTGTAAAGTTTGTTAAAGATTCTGCATAAATTTCATTCTGAAAGCCATTTTTCGATTTATCCAGCGATGTTGCCTTCAAATGGCTAGGTGGCTAAGACCACCGAATACAGACAGTTCGACTTGCATTCGAATTCAAGTAAATAGGCTGTAGTCGCATGGGTCATTGCTTTCCTTATATGTAATATGAATACAGGCTGATTTTCTTCGTAAAATCGACCGTGAATGTATACGTCCCATTAAGCAGAGTCCCTATGTGATTTATTTGATCAAAGCATTGATATATGCAAAAATCCACTAAAAATAATTTCATTATTAAATTAATAAAAAAACAAGGAATTTTTCCAAAATCGTTTAGAAATATTATGCTATCCCCGTATATGAAAAATTAAAAAAAAAAAAAAAAAAAAGAAACAAAAAAAAAAAAAAAAGAAACAAAAAATCGGATCACTAAAGCGGGTCAATAATTAATTTTAATATTCGACCTAAACTAACTCAATTCAGTGAAACCAACCCGAATAAAATCCCGCGAATAGGTAAAGGATTAAATGTTTGATAATAATAAAGAAAAAGGAATCAATGTCGCTTAAGGCAGAAAAATTAATCTTTTTAATCAGCATAGGAACAAAGTATGCCACAATAATTTTCTTTCCCGCTTTTCCGATTTATCAAGGAATGTAAGCTTGCATTCAGTTCATTTAAATTTTTGACTAATATAAATATCCAAGTTCATCATCACTTAAAATCAAAAGGCTACCAATAACAACAAATTAAATGTTTGAAATAAAATCTCTCATTGCTAGCAGCAACACGATAGTTAAAAGCAAAAGGGGGGGGAACTGCATGATTTTCTAAAAAACTATTAGAATTTTGTGTACTACATACGAGATTCCTAAAACATATCACCTGGAAGATCATTTTGCATCATCAAAAGATAAAAATTCTTCAATGCTTAACTTAATGTAATTAAAGAAGTATATGCGAAAAAAATTCAAAAGTAAATTAAAAAAAAAAAAAAAAAAAAAAAAAACTTTTGGAAATGTTGTTCTGGAGTATTGTTAATCAATGTGATACAAACAAACAGAAAAATTAAGCTAAATAAAGCATGCAAAAATTATTCAACATGGATTCTGTATGACTTATTATTTCTTAAATTGTTTTCTTTATTTTTAAGACTGCAGGGTTTCTCTTAGTTTGAATAACCAATTATTTTGATTTTGGTTTCCCTTCGCATTTCTTCGCCTGGATGCAAATTAAGTTAAATGAAAAGCGTATTTAAACAGACGAAACGAGAAGGTTAAACAGAGAGTTATTTCGCTATTGTATCGCTCGGTTACTAGTTTGTCCTCCAGTTATTAATCTTAGTTGCGGTTACGCATTCTGACCGTTTATCAAGTCTATCATCAATGTAGGTTGCTAAGTCAGCGTGTTAGCTTACATTGAATAGTGTAATCTAGCACTAGAATTTAAATTTTTGAATTTATTCTTAAACTATCCTGAAGTTCTCACCGCAAGTACTCGGGTGTTTTTGTGAGTACGATGCCCATGCCTGCTTGTTAAAGACTTGTACAGCAAAGATGATAAAATCTTACAAGACTACAAATTAAAATTCTAGGATTTGCCAATAATAGATATTGCTGATACTAACTTGCAAATCTGAGGATCCGGAAGTCCATATACATTCAACGATTTACATCCAGTATCTTCTACATCTTTCAGTACAAACCACAGGGTAGATATCTCTCTTCCCCTAAAATAAACCTTTGTTAAAATAATAATCATAGTTCGAGAGGAGAAAAGACATAGAAGAAGCTTTTACAGAAACTGTTTGAAATTTTTTAGACCATTTTGCTTTGCTGTAAAAAGAGATCTCCTGCTCAGAATTTTTTTTTTTTTTTTTTTTTTTTTTTTTAACTGCACCTATGGTTTTAAAAATATAAACTATCGTCTGATATCTGACAGTTTTGTTTTCAGACAAAATCACTTTTAAAGAAGCAATAAATGGAAGGCTATGTTTGTGTTCTTTCCGAAGAAAATTAATTATGTCTATTTATTAAAAAACAGTATGAAAGCCATTTTTTTATTTATTTATTTTTTTTTTTTTTATCTAAAGCTATGATAGGTAATACTGTCAACAACAAACGTCAAAAATTTAGCTTGAAGTATAAAAATTATTCCAAATACCTATTCAAAGAAAAAAACTGAATGTTTCGAATGTTGCAAAAGTATAAGGGTTGTTCAAATAAAAAAGTACAAATAAACCGGTTGAAATGTGAATAAGTATCTTTAGCATAACGTAACGAGTCACCTAAGGACGCGAATGTAGTGTCCGGCTTGGTTATGCGCATGCGTGAGAGTCCGCACATGACACAAGAGAGAAGCAGGCATTGTGTGTGCTGTCCAATTGATGTGGCAGTGCTTGTGTGAGGACATCATGGTATTCACATTGCAAAATTCGATGACTGAGGAGCAGCGAAGTGTATCAGATTTCTGATTGTGGAAGGGTTTAAACCGGCCGATATCCATCGCCGGATGATGATCGTATACGGAGAAGACTGTGCATCCGACAAGTTAGTGGAGAAAGTGGAGTGCCAGTTTTCGTGAAGGCCTGTAGTGTTCGAGTGATGACCCGAGACCAGGACATGCAAACAAGGTAATCATGGCAGAACTCATCGAGAAGATAACGACCTGGTGAGAAGAGACATCTCAAAGGGAAGCGCTTCAACTCGGACGACGAACTGAAGTACACAGTGGAGTACTGGCTCCTGTCGCGGCTACAGGAATTCTGGAGAGAGAGAATCCTTCGGCTCGTGAAACAATGGATCAAGCCTTTGGTAATTACTTTTGAATAAAGACTTCAATACATCCATAGTGTCGTTTCGTACCTTTTCATTTGAACACCCCTTAAAGACGTTTGATGTTAAAAGATAATTCGTTAAGGACAGCTGTAAAATCATTAAAATGCTCAGTTTAAAATGAAAACAAAGTGATTAATGCTGATTTAAGTCTTAAAAAGGCGAAAAAACATGATGTGCGTCGTCTTTCTCCGTGATATACACATTTATTCGGATAAAAATGGAAAAATGTTGTCACTATAGATGAATCTTGGGTATACTTAAATAGCAGAGATCCATTTATTATCATCAAAGAGGAGAAAAAATGTTAAAACATGGTTCAAGGAATCTAAAGAAAGTTCTTCGGAGGTATTTAGGATTGTTAGTGGTTATTATAACGGCTTATTATAACGGCAAATTAAAAATAAAGAAAGTGGAGAAAAATGTTAAGTTCAACTCCACATATTAACAAAAACATATTTTATACCCAATTTTCAAATATGACATAGCTTCTGGTTACATACAGGGTGATCCATAAGCAGAATTGCATCAAGACTAAGCAAGCAGCGACACGTCAAAATCTACTGTTAATTTCCTGGAAAAAAATGGAGCAAGAATCGGGTATCAAGCCATATATATCTTTCACTAGTATCCCTACTAAATCTTCTGATCTAATCACCAATGCATTTTTTCTCTTTTGGACTTTTAAAAAGCGGGTTGTCCGAACGTCGACTACAACTTCTTTAGACTTTGGAAAGCTGTTGGAGAGGAATGGGATAAAGTACCTCTTCCGATACGACAAAAGGTTTTATTGTCTTGAAAATTACGCTGTATAAAGATACTAAAGAATAAGGGTTATCAAACAAAAAATTTAAATCATAAAAATTTTAAGAAAAATATTTCTGTAATTGCAAATGAAAATCGTCTAAAAATGTGCGAACAGCCTCTGTGTAATAGCGATTAACAACATCAAAATAGCATGCCAGCTTTAAAATTATGTTAGACTGTAGAGACATTAGGTATTTGGAAGCAGGAGACATCGAAAATGAGCAACGCATTCGCCGGGAATCGCACCACGGACCTCTGGAATACGCGCCCAGCATGTAGACCACTACACCACGAAGGCACGCTAAGAAGGCGGGAGAAATACCTTATATACTACCCCCCTTAAAGCGCGACTGTGGTTTTAGGGGACCCAATCGCCAAATCCTGGGTGTGGAGAATCATCATCTACCACCCTTTTAGTTCGGGTGCCACTGTAGAGACATTAGGTAATTTTTGTTAGCAGGAGGCATTTATTTATTATTATTCCGCATGCTTCACCTCTCAATGGGCACTAGAGGTCAGTCATGTTATTCTGATCGTTGCTACAGCAACCTATTTTGGTTGTTTATCTTTTCAACCTTATTATAGATAAACAGTTTTAACAGTAGTTATTACTTTTGTTGGGTGTTCCAACTTACAATTTCTTGGGAATGTTAGTATAAAATTAGCAAAAAGGGTTAGTTAGCTTAGAAATATTTACATATATACATGAGTAGAGGCTTGTTGCCTTTATATTTTGTCAAGTGCCTAGACCTGGTTATCTGCTATGATTATGTTTCTCTTAGAATAGACATACTCTATGATAGTTCTGACGCCCCGCTGTCCGTAGTAATTCTGAAGAAGGTCTTTGAGGCTATGTGATCCCTGGAGCTGAGGAAGGAAGGCTCTGATGGGAGAAGTACGTGGACAGTCGTGGATCCAATGTGAAACATCTGCTGGAGAAGCTGAAGCACCGCAGGCGCATTTTACGTTTTGATGGCAGAATCTGCTGAGGTACGCGGGGAATCTTCCGTGATTTGTGAAAGCTTGTTGTAGATAGAGGTCTGCTTTGAGCCTTTTGGTGGAAACCACGGAAAAGATGGAGTAGGTGTGTCGACGAGTGTCTGAGTCGTCCCAGCGAGCTTGCCAGATGGACATGAAGGCGCAGAAGATCTTGTGTTTGGCAGCGACTATGAAAAGAGCTATCTCTGAGTCGATGAAGGGGTGACATGTGGCTTCTTTAGCTAAAGAATCGGCCCTTTCGTTACCTTGATGACTTCGTACCCCAGCACAGCGACACTTGCCTGGAAGAAGACAGGGAAATAAGCACTATGAAAAATGAGCAACGCCTTCGCCGGGAATCGAACCACGGACCTCTGGAATACACGCCCAGCATGCAGACCACTACACCACGCTAAGAAAGCGGGAGAAATACCTTATAAGACTGGTATTGAAAATGTCCTTTATTTCAGATTTCATTATGAAGTGAAATTTTCTTTTTATTTAGAGAGAGTTAATTAGAGAAAGCGGCCTTTCTCACATCAATTATTATTGTACAATTTTTCATTTAATATGTTACCTTAAATGATCTTAGAAAATAATCTGCTTCTTCAGAAACTTAAAAATTACATAGTCTCTTTCAAAGTGCCATTAATAGTTAGAGAGACATTTGTTATCAACTAAACAATTATTTGTAAACTCAGGTTTCGAAATGTCAAAAACTTTGAACCCCATCGCAGCTAAAATTTCCAATGAACACGTGCAAAAATTTCATTTTTAGTATCCTTCAGTAGCTAACGTATTTCACAGATGCTTTTAGGCATTAACAGCAATGGTTAAAATGTGTTGCATGTATATTTTGACAATATAGTTTTAATATTCTGTAGTAATGTTATTTGTACATAAAAAGCGTGACCAATAAATATTGTGCAAGTCGCAGCTAAAATTCTTTTATCTATAGTCAAAGCTTTGTTTCAACTAGGCCTCCGCTAGATTAAAGCCTTTCGTTTCCCTAGCCTTTCGTAATCCTAGCCTTTCGTAATCTGAAACTAAACGGAAGTGAGCTATCAACAGCTAAAACACAGAAACCTTTTAGGTGAGGATGGCCTCTAGGAACTATTTAACTGCCAGTACAAAGCGCAAGTGAAATTAAAATCCAAATAAAATTTATCAAGCCTTGTAATATAAAGCTATTACAAAGACGATGTTGCTTAAAGCTAAACATATGGGCTATTTACGCTACAGCTGAAACTTTAACTCATTTATAATTTCTGGTTTCCGCAGATTCAAGAGGAACTAGCTTTCACCGGCAAAGCGACGAACGCACCAGCAGGGCACAGTTGAACTCCTACCTGTGAATTATGCCGCAGGTCTTTAAATTTGGATAATTTTCCAAGCTTAGCAAAAATTATGACGTAAGTGTTTAAGACATGAAAGGGTTTAACTCAAAAATTTAATATTTAGAAAAACATAAGAACACCTGCCTCAATCTAACGGTCAGAATAAGATGGATAATGCATTCGTTTTCGCTGAGAATTCTTACAATTTTTCTTTCCCTTCCCCTAATCAGACAACTAAATTTTCTCAAACTTCGAAAATGAGACAGTTCATAAAGACAGGTATTGAGACGAAGAATGTCCTTTTGTAACGTGCATCCGGGACCACCCTGCACAGCTGCATTATGCCAACAAGCGGTTTATTTCATCCAAACGGTTTCAGCTGAAGTCCATTAGCAAACAATCAACGAGATTGACATGTGTCAAATAATCAGTCCTGGATCTGTGGGAGGGGCAAACGGCAGTCTGTGCCCTGGGTGGCAAATTCAAGCGTGGCGCTGGATCGTATTTGGAAGGCTGTCTAATTTTGATATACCATTAGCAGTTTTAAAGCCAGGTTTAAAAATCTCGTTTAAAAATTTATAAGTAATTAATAAGAAACGGAAAAAACGATCAAAAGAAAGCTAAGTACAGCCGAATACGACTCTAAAGATAAGATGAGAGAAAGGACAAGGTTGACCAATTTGATTTTCCACTACTGTTTGCTTGCCTGACCCCAGGGGATAATTGCCCCTTTTATGCAGACTCGCTTCAGGATGTCTTGCCCAGTCATATCCCAACTTCGCGGAATTAATTGAAGGCCCTTTCAATTCTCCCCGACAGTTAACAATGGCCAATTATTCCATCCCTCACCTTAACGTAGGAAGGGTGACAGACGAAGAAGAAACTAGGAACTGCACAACCCTTTCTTTTCCCTATTTCTACGAACCCGAAGAGAATGGTTGCTACAAAAAGTCATTTAATGTGTGTGTGTGTGTGATTATGGCAAACCTCTAGGGCTATCTGCCTAAGGGGAGGAATGCCTTCGTGGAGGACTTTCTAAGGAAACTGACTCGTTACACATGGAAGAAAACCACGAAAACGCCCGTGCAGCCAGCCCGTTCGCGGGATTCGAACCTCGGGCCGAACTACCAGTGTTCAGCGACTTTACCGATCGGTCGCTAGTGGGCCTTCTTTATAAATGGGACACATTTGATTGAGACTACAAGTCTATTTTCTTTTTTCAGATATTGTGAAAATTTTGCATACACAGCAAATGTTAAATGAAAATCTAGTAAGAGCTAAAGTAAAAACTACTTTTTTTTTATACTCTTATTATATTTTTATAATGCTTAAAAGAATAATGGACTTGTTTATGTTCCACAGGAATTCAAAAATTTCCGAGTCGTGACTTATAGCTGCTTATATGTTAGTTTTGACGATTACCATATATAGGTGAAATAGGGACTGAAGTAGTTAAAATCTTAGGCAAATGCTGCGGAGATAGTTAATGTACTAGACTTAAATATTATCTCCAAATTTTTTAAATTAAAAGTGGTCAGTTAATGTCAAAAACTAAATAGGAGAAATTGAAATTAAACTGAGTTATCGTGCTTTCTAAAATTACCATTCATATTTATTGATGTAATTTTAAGAAGCGCAATAACTGAGTTTAATCTAAATTTTCTGTTATTTCGTTTTAATATTATTTGTCCACTTTTAATTTTATTTTGGAGGTAATATTTAAGTTCAATATATCAGTTTTGGCATATGCAAACCAGATAAATTAATGACCTGCATAAAATTTATATACATATGTACTATATATATAAAATCAACCTATCAAATATCGGATTTCAGAGAAGAAGATACAAATATTAATGTGTAATGCAGTTTAAATTAGCTTTCTTTTTTTTTTTTTTTTTCTTTTCTTTGTCTAGATAAATATTGAATGAATCTTCTTAGATGGTCTTAACTTTCAAATTTACCATTTTAAGTAAATAGTTCTAATCTGATTTTAAAAATTCTTTTCATTAAATAAAAAAATTCGGCTTGTTAAACGGTTCTAAATCCACACAAATATTATTATAATATATGTCGCATTAAGCTTTTATTTACTTTTCCAATTTTTAATCACTGAAGTTGAAGTTACTTAACAGATTATATATTTTAAGAAATATAAGAAATGTTTAAATTTATGTTTCCCAAGTACTTCTCTCACCGATATACTATGAAACACATTTAATTTATAATACACGTTTAATTAATATTTATGAACATATGAAACATTTCCATAATTAAACAAAAAATTTCTAACATCCCTTAGAATTTTTAATTTCCTGTTCATTCATTTCTTTTTAAACTTGTATCGTATATATCTTTTTGCTGTATATTAGAATTTGTATAGTGTTGTACTGCATTCATGTAATTTATATTTAAATGATAACTTTTAGAAACTTCTGCATCATAACTTTAGTTAATGGAAGATGTTTCTAGCGTCTTCGTGTCGTTTAATCGTTAGTATGCATCTTATTTTTCAATTTATGTTTAGGTGTCAATGAAATTATCTTTAAAGAGAGATGACGCTGAGTTATACTAATAATATTTTTAACTGTCGCTATTTATAATACAAGTTAACGTGATTAGCTCATTTATAACCTTTATAAAAAAAAAAAAAAAAAAAAAATCAGCCATACTGGATTTAATAGCAAATGCTTCTAATATTTAGATTACATTTCCTTCTTCCTTGATATCTTTATGATGTTATTGTTTCATGATCTCATAGAGATAAATACAACTCATTTACCAAATAGTATGTAAATTTGATTCAGCATACTTTTGTGATTACTAATAGTATACCTTCTATCTACTTTAACATTTTGTTCAACACACAGCATCTCATAAGCCTAATTTCAAGAGCTCTGCGTTCACCCAGGACTAGAGATAAAGAAGGGCTGGGTCATCCCTTTGAGGGGAACGATGCCAGCACCTTCTTAAGCAGCTTTTCCAAAGCAGAGAAGTAAGACTTCAGCGAGTATTGAGACTGTGAAGTTTAATAGAAAACTTTTGATATTCCTTTCGATTCGCAGCAGTTGAAAGAGCTGGCTGCATGAACTTTTCGTGTTTTACACAGAAAGACGGAATTATGTTTTCCTTAAAAAATTGTCTAAGTTGCCATCTCATACCTGGTAATCTGGGCGCTCTGTTCTGAATTATTTTTAAAGAAAAAATAATTAGTGACAACAGTAATCGTTTTGAATTATTTTTAAAGAAAAATTAAATAATGAAATTTAAAGAGAAATTAAATAATGAAACGTCTGCATAAATGTACGTACGTTTCTCGCGCTGTGAAAAAAAACCGACGGTACCTAGAGCAATCGAATTTTGAATAACTTAGTCCTTCACGCGAAAGGAATGCACCTGGAAGCCGGAATTTAGAGTTTCAAATTTTTATTATTATCTATTTCACATTTTGGAAATCTTTAATGAATTTTAGATTAACAAACTCAGCGATTTCAGAGCAAGCAGTGGAAACACTATACGAAAAAAAAAAAAATTTTTTTTTTTAGCTCCAGAGCGTCAGACTGTTTATTGGAAATTCTAAAGGTAAGCTGTTTTTAAAGGCCCACCAGCGGCCGAATGGTAAAAGACGCTGAATACTGATAGTTCGGTCCGGAGTTAGAGTCCCGGCGATCGGGCTGGCTGCATGGTTTTACCCATGTGTTATGTGGATACGAGCCAGTTTCCTTTAAAATGACCTCAACGGGGCATCCATCCTTTCCCCTGTAGTGCCTAAGGGCGAAGTACGCTATAAGCAAAAAAAAAAAAAAAAATCTGAAATGTTTCAGATTTTAAATTACGTCCAAAGGGGCGTTTTTTAACATATTGTGTGTTACCTTTCTTTATTAAATACCATGTTCCTCGCACTTAAACCATAAGATCCAGTGCAACAGCAATATCGCAAAATAGTTTTAAAACGAGCATATCTT